CATAGAGGGCAGAGCGTCAGGTTATTTAAAGGGGACATTAACGCGTTAACGAGTAGCAAATGATTAAGTAGCTGCATTGGTTACTTTTATGCCACTGATAAAGCTTTTATATGTAGTTTGGGGTAACAAAGGGGTTTTATAGGTTTGACTGAAATAATAATGCAATAACTGACACTTTAAATCAATGTTTCAAGAAACAACAACAAAAAAATTGAACAAAAATAGGGATTTCGCCTAGGGCGTCAAATTGGCTAGAAACGGCCCTGGCCACAGGTATAGCAAAAGGGTAGCAAAATGGTGATTTAGACGTCTTTTTTTTCCTAAATGCACTGACACAAATGGTGCGTTCAAGTCATGTTGGATAGTGAGAAAACGTGTTGGATGCAATGGACGCTGCCAAAGACTATAGATATGCAGCGTCTGTATTGATGGTAAATTTGTTGAAATTAATAATCTTTTTTATTTGTTAGTTTTCTCTACTTCTCAAGAAGCCTTTACTAGATCCTTTTATCCTGAATAACTTATGTCCCATTTCCGTTTTGTCATTTATCTCAAATGTTTTAGAAAAAAATGTGTTTGACCAACTGCAGTTCTTTCTAAATCGTAACTGTATTTCTGACAATTTTCAATCTGGTTTCAAATCTGTCCATAGTACTGAAATGGCCCTTCTCAGAGTGTTAAACGACACTTTTAGCTACCGACTCTGGTGATTCTGTGGTGCTGGTTCTTTTAGATTTATCAGCAGCATTTGATACTGTGGACCACTCTATTCTGATATCTTGATTAGAGTCAGACGTGGGCCTAAAAGGTACGGTTCTTAAGTGGTTTCAGTCATTTTTATCTGACAGAATTTTTTTTGTCAAATTAAGTTATTTCTCTTCCCCTGTTGCTTATCTCACCTGTGGCCTCCCTCAAGGCTCGATATTGGCGCCCTCCCTTTTTTTCCCTGTACATGCTTCCTCTGGGTTCCATTCTAAGAAGGCATGGGCTGTCTTTTCATTTTTACGCTGACGATACCCAGATTTATTTACCTATTAAGAGAAATTATCCTTCAGGACTTAGTACTTTACGAAGGTGCTTAGAAGAGGTCAAAATCTGGTTAGCTCAAAATTTTGTAACGTTAAATGAAGATAAAACAGAGGTGATTGTTTTCAGTCCTACTGATCATTCTCAGGCTACCAGACTAGATCTGGGCAGCTTAACGGCCTTCAGATCTTCTCGTGTGCGAAATCTGGGAGTCCCTTTTGATGATTCATTAAAATTGGATAAACATATCTCTTCTGTAATTGGTTCCAGTTTTTACCAACTCCACTTGCTGTCTAAAATCAAACACTTTTTAAATGTTTACAACGTTAGACATGGCTGTTCACGCTTTTATTATTTCACGCTTAGATTACTGCAACTCACTATATTGTGGTATTTCAAAGTCACAAATTACTCGCCTACAATTGGACCAAAACGCTGCTGCTAGATTTCTTCAAAATAGTCGCAAATGTGACCACATCACCCCGATACTGAGGGCCCTCCATTGGCTGCCTATTCAATTTAGAATTGATTTTAAAGTTCTCTTACTGGTGTATAAATCTTTACATAACCAAGCCCCTAGTTATCTCTCAGAGCTCCTGCATTTTTATTCTCCAACTAGAAGTGTAAGATCCAGTGATCAGAATCTCCTTTTAGTCCCACAGTCCAGACTTAAACGTAGATGGGATTGAGTTTTTTCTGTGGTGGGGCCTCGGTTATGGAACAATCTGCCAATTGAGATTAGAGTGGCACCTTCCCTATCCATTTTCAAGTCACTTTTAAAAACACACTTGTTCAATCTGTTCAAATCACATTGTATTATGGTCTTGATTATTACTCTGTCTTCAGAATGTTTATCTGTCATTTCTTTTTGTTTTTTAAATTTAAATGTTTTATTATTTCTGTGTTTATGGTCTGATTTTTATGTACTGCACTTTGGTCAGTCTTGTGGCTGTTTATAAATGTGCTTTATAAATAAATGAACTTGAACTTGATGAACTTTTTGTAATGTAAAACAAAACCACAAAAGTTACATGTACAAAATATTATATAATTGTATAATAACCATGGAATATATAATGATTCAGTTTACATCACCTTCATAAATTGAATAAAAACAGAAAAAAGCAAAAACACAATGATGTACATTATTTATCATTTTGTAGATGTAGAGTTCAAAAAGTGAAGAAAAGTTAAATCGCCATCTTGCTCCGACCAAAGTGACTTGAACACACCTGACGTCGTTTTACGACTTGTCAGTGTCCCAGGAGGACTTGAACGCAGCATTAAGCCCAAAGTATACTTCACGTTTTACAGTGACGCAAATTTTGTCTTCAGAATAGTATGCGCGTACTGTATGTTCACCACTCAATTTTTGTAACCATGCGTACTTTGTAAGCCCTAATCAATTGTTCCACAAGGTGGCAGCACTGGCCCGGGCTGCTGTTTCACAGTAGAAAATTAAACTAAAGGGACGGAACAACAACAGCAGCAAAATAGCGAAGACTGCAACAACAGATGACTGCTTTGACAGGCGCTTGTGTGAGACGGTTATGAGAGAGCCGTGAGTTTAGTTTGTAGCTTAGTTTAAGTCAATGTGGATTTGAAAATGCTTTCCGAGCAGATCACGCCCCCACCCTGTCAATCATTACATCAAGGCAGGGCTTGTGTTGCCTTGTCTGGGGTATTTTGCAAACGCAGAAGGTTCAAGGCCAAGGGAGCAGCCAAGGGAGGGAACGTGAAGTCAGTTCCACAATTTCTCAGAGAATTTTATTTTTATTTCCATTTTATATTTTATTCTTCTCTTCTAATATCATTTTGATGCAATTTTGTGTATTTGTCCACTGTAGCGCGAAAAAGAATGACCTACTGGTGCGCTGTCTGGTACTGCATGTGTCTTTGTTCACAGAGAGCTGCTTCACATGAAAGCACAAAAGTACAGAATCTCTTTTGTGTCTTATCATGCTTATCGACACTTGACCACTTACATGACGTATTTCCTGTATTTGGCCCAAGTGTTCAAGTGAATGGCAAGCTGTCTTAGCTTTAAAATATTCTCAGCGTTACTCATCATAATTGCATTTTTACTAGTAACAATTCAATTAGAGAGTTCTACAATTAAATTCTTACTAGTAACAATGCCAATTAGAGAGCTTTTTAAATAAATTTTTACTAGTTACAATTACAGTTAGAGAGCTTCATTATTACTAGTAAGAACTGAATTAAAGAGCTCTCTAATGCAATCCTTAATAGTATGAATTACAACTAGAGAACTCTTTAATGCAATTCTTACTAATGACAATTGAATTAGAGCTTTCTCTAACTGAATTAGTAAGCTCTGCAATTGCATTCTTACTAATAAGAATTAAAATTAAATTAGAGAGCTCTACAGTTCAATTCTTACGAGTAACAATGCCAATTAGAGAGCTTTCTAATTCGGTTCTTACTAATAAAAATGAAATTACAGATCTCTCTGATTAATTATAATTATAATTTTTACTAGTAAGAACTGAATTGCAGAACTCTGTAATTTAATTGTTACAAGTAAAAATGCAATTACGACGAGTAATGCTGGGAACATTTTAAACTGAAACAGCTTGCCATATAAGTGGGTGTGGAGACCACAAATGTGTGTAGAACTTTTCGTTACCCGATGGGACACGATTATAGAGTTATAAAAACGCAAGTGTTTACAGAGCTTTATTTTGATTTTGATTTGATTTTAATACTTTGCATTTAATATAAACTTTTAAATGTCTGTTCAGTTATCCCCATAACAGATTACACAATTTAGTAATTGTGGTGCATCTAATTAAGTGATAAAAAGCAGTTGCAAATGTTATACAAAATACGCACGCATCTTTGCAACAATAAAATGTGCAACACGTTATGTTTTACTACCAAATTAAATGTAATATGTAATTATTTATTAATATTTAATTTACACTGGACAGGTTTCCATGACATCCATTTCCAAGATCTCGGAAAAAAAGTTATGCGATTTATTTCCAGAACATGATGCATGATAGGATACGCTTAGCCTTGAATACCACTTCGGAGTGTGGATTTAGTGTGTGTTAAGGGCACTGTGCTTTGTCATTTTTAAGACCTGGCAAGTGTGGGTATTTGGACAGACGCATGGTCTACTGTAACTCTAGCCAAAGGATTCCAAGGACGAAAAAAAAGGATTAATTAAAGGCTGCAAAAAAAGGCTGCATTAATTATGTTAAATATTTTTTGATGCGTTAAACAGAATAATAATTACCGTGTTTTATTATATATAATCCTATACAATTGTTTATATTCACTTGGTGCTTGAAATGAAAGTACACAGACATTCTGTGTCACATAATAGACAAACAATAAATTTATTGAAATACCATATCATGGTATGCACAAATGAGAACAGAAAGAGCAGTGGTTGTGAGGAATAAAAAATTGTTCCAAAATAGTGACAAAAACATTTACTACAACATATAAGTATTACATCACTGTGTTGTCTGAAGGCTCTCAAGAGATGAATCAGAAGATATACTTGGATGCAGTGACACAGATAGCCAGATCTCTGCAGCATGAGAGAATACAGGTACATGAAGGTATATTTTCAGAATTTTAAATTATATTTACATGTTTGAAATGACAAATTATGCACATTTCCTAGATTTTGCTTATGTTTTTTGTGGTAATTTCTGTTGACAGATTGTTCAAAACATCAAACACAAAGCTGCAATGAGTTCTTTAAATGCAAGTTTTTACCAGAATATCTCCATTGTTCACCCTGAATACTTTTTCATCATTGGACTTTCAGGTATACCTTACAGCAATTATTACTATATATTCTTATTTATCACATATTTTATTACTATAATTGGGAACTCTATAGTGCTTCTCATTATTGTTCTTGAACGAAGTCTGCACAGTCCAAAGTACATTGGTGTGTTTAACTTGGCCTTGGCTGACATTGGTGAAACTAATGCACTGATTCCTAACATGATGAAGACTTTGCTGTTTGACTCACAGTACATCTCCTACAATGCTTGCTTGGTGAACATGTTTTTTGTGTTTCTTTTCAGTTCTATACAAAGTGTCACTCTTGTTGTTCTGGCATATGATCGCTTCATTGCAATTTGTTTGCCATTAAGATATCATGCTCTTGTAAACAATACAAGTATGGTTTTAGTTTTCTCAGCAGTTTGGGCATTTAATTCTTCTATTGTGGCTTTGATGGTGTCTTTGATCACCCGACTTTCATTCTGTGAATCTAATATGATACAGAGTTATTTTTGTGATCATGGACCAGTGTATAGGTTGGCTTGTAATGACAATAACATTAATAAGTTCATGGCGTTTCTCATCACAGGTTTATACCTTGTGGCACCATTGGTCATAATAGTCCTGTCATATCTTTGCATTTTTTTTGCTTTAATCAAAATTACAACTTGGCAAGGACGTTTAAAAGCTCTAAAGACCTGTGTCTCTCATCTGTTGTTAGTAGGGATATATTTCCTTCCCTTGTTCTGTACGTACTTTGCGCAGCTCTTGCTTTCTCTTGCCCCCAATGCAAGGGTCATCAGTACGTCTCTGGCATATGCTATTCCGCCGATGCTAAATCCCATCATTTATGTTTTAAACACAGCTGAAATCAAAGACATAGTTCAACATTTTTTTAAAAACAGACCTGCACCAAGTAGAGAGAACCTTTCTAAATGACTGAAATGTCTTGTTTAATGATTGCTAATTAAATTACCTATATGAAGACTACATTCTCAGGCCTCACAGAGTTAATAATAATGTCAGTGAACAATGTCTTTTCAGAAATGCATACTTTGAAAAATGATCTTTTGACAGAGTAACAATCTTTGTAAATCTTTGTACAAATTCTTTGTATTGCCTTTTAAAATTCTGAAAAATTTTTTTCCCGTATACATCACATGTGAAAAATGTGAAAAAACATTTTGTTGACATTAAACGCATTGTACATGGCCATCTATAAATGTGTTTTGGTTTATTTTTTATTTTATATTTATTAGTAATTTTTTAAATAATAAAAACTGCTTGAGTCATGTGACTAAGTAAAATAATATTTTATCATGTATTTCTGTTGGAATTTGTAATACCATTACATTTTTTAATGATCTGAGATCTGCTGCTTGTTTCGCTGCATTTGTTGTTTTCCTTTTTTTTTTCTTTGCTATGTAATAATGAAAAAAATTTTAACATTAACCCATATACACATAAATGTGTATATTTCAGTTTATTGTGTCACTCTTTTTAAAGGTGATCAGAATTATATATTGCCTATTGGACTGATTCAAACATAACAGTGAAAATGTAGCATAATATTTAGTATTAAATTGAATTAGAGGTAAACTCTTTCCAAAGTCTTTTATACCTCATGAGAAAATCAATGCTACACGTTTATATAAATCTGCATAAATGGTCTTTTACTGCCATCTAGTTGTAAGTTTCTGTATGTGTATGTAAGTGTAGCCAGTGTATTTTTAAGAAAACATTTACTTTGCTTTAACATGCATTCATTTGTTTGAGAAATATATATATGTATATGTATGATACAAGTCCATAGTAATGAGACTGAAGTCCAGCCCTGTTGATTAACAAGATCATTGGGTTTCTTGTTTCAGCTTTATACATTGTAGCACCATTAATTATTATAGTCCTTTTTATATATGGGAATTTTTCTTGCTTTAATCAAAATGACAACTTGGCAAGGACGTTTAAAAGCTCTGAAGACCTGTATTTCTCACCTGTTGTTAGTAGGGATATATTTTCTGCCCATATGCAGCTCATACATTGCTGCATTTTTGGTTTCTCTTACACTCAATGTCAGAGTCATCAGCACATCTCTGGCATATGCTATTCCACCAATGCTAAAATCCATCATTTATGTTTTAAACACAGCTAAAATCAAAGACATTATTCGAAAAGTGCTTAAAAACAGATCTGCACCAATTAGAGAGAACATGTCTAAATGACTGAAATGTTTATTTATTTATTTAATGACTGGGAATTAAATTACCCATATAAAGACTACATTCCCAGGCCTCACAGAGGTCTGTATGACTTACAGTACAAAAATAATGCCAGTGAACAAAATCTTTTCACAAATGCATATTTTAAAAAAAATTAACTTTTAAAAGAGTAATATTTGTATGTATTAAAATAAGCAAAATTACCGTTATCTAACCTTTATTCATTAATTCAGCTGATTTCAAGTGTTTTGTACTGCTTGTGCAGTTGTTACTATGTTGACCTTAAACACTTAGGTCAAACTATTTTTCACTGTCATCTATAAATGTATTTTGATTGGTTTTCTGCAATAACAACTAAGACACCTGACTAAATAACATAATATTTCATAATGCATTCCTGTTTGTAATTTGTATAGGGGTCCATTTTGACATGAGATCTGCAGATGTTGCTCTTGTTTCTGTACATTTGTTATTTTCCTGTTTTTAGTAATGAATAAAGAAAATGAACATTAACCCATATGCACACAAATATATGTTTCAGTTTATTGTGTCACGCCCTATTCAGAAGCTTATAGATTTAATTTAAAGATAACAATGACAATGTAAAATTTTTTAGAATTAAAATGATGTAGAGACAAACTATTTTTGAAGTCTTTAAGTAACACTTCATAAGAAAATCAGTGCCACACGTTTATGTAAAATCTCAGCTTCATAAATGGTCTTTTACTTCCATCTAGTGGTAAATTCAAGTAAGTATATGTTGTTTAACTGTGTATGACAACCTGAGATCAAAAGCTGGACAGAGTAATTCAAATAATATAACTTCCTAATGTTTTCCTAATTTGGAATCCAAATGTCAATTTGTTAGTGTAACTGCACATTTCATTTTTAGTTTTTTTTTACTAGCATGAATCTAATTATTGACCATTATGGCCTAATATCTGTTAATAACTCTAGAACTTTATTTTACATTATTTTATTTTATATATTTTAAATGATAAACTATCTGTGATATTAAATAAATATATATAAAGCAAAGTACATATTATTTGTTTATAATACATAGGAAGAAGTCATGATATCTTTACAAGGCAAGGCAAGGCAAGTTTATTTGTATAGCACATTTCATACACAATGGTAATTCAAAGTGCTTTACATAAAATAAAATAAAAACAATAAACAGGCTTCACTGCTTTAGTAAAACTGAGGTCAAAAGCAGTGATGTTAAATGGACTCTCATGTGTAAGCAAAATAAAAAAGCAATGTCCACACACTGACATAATTGCTGATATATTTTTAAAAAAAATATTGCAATAAAAAGTTTTTATTTATTTATTTATTTTTTATATATGGAGCAGTTATCAGTGTGCAGACATTGCTTTTGTATTTTGCTTCAGTTTGTCTTTTTTTTGTCCTGAGACATATTTGGGTTTGTGGCATGTGCACAGCTTTTTTGCATTTTTGACTCAAATGTGTAAGACCTCACAAATGTTTGTATTAAAATAGCAAACCATTTAATTAAAGTTTTTGTTTGTATTGCCTTTTGCTCGTGTCATGTATTTTGATGTTCAGAAAATATATACTGTATAAAAAAATGTATTATAAAACTACAGACAAAAAGGTACAGTCAGGTCTTCGCTGATTTAATGTCATTTTTTTCCTCTTAAGTTTTTTTTATTAAAACCTTCTTTACCTCATCTGTTCTCAAACAATAAATGAGGGGGTTGATCATGGCTATAAATATAAAAGGCTATACACGTCATAATAATGACTATTCGCAAATCAGTTCTGAATTTTATATTAATATTGGCTGACAAATAATTAAAACATTTGGGTAGGTAAAAAACGGCAATTATGATAAGCTGAGAACTGCAGGTGGAGAAAGTCTTCGTCCTTTCTTGAGCACTTGATTTACGCGGAACTGACACAATGATGACACAGTAAGAGAAAACAATAACAGCAAGAGAGCCCAGCAGTACTATCATAGCATGAATGCATTCTAGATAACTATATTCTTCTCTGTCAGTGCATGCCAGTGTTGTAATAGAAATATGATCACAGCAACAGTGCACAATGACGTTACTTGCACAGTAAGGGAGAGGATAAGCTCGGATGATCATCATCAAAGGGCCTATCAAACCCAACAACCAAGTGCCCAGGATCAGAATGAATACATTTCTGTTTGTCATGATACTATGATACCGAAGTGGGAAACAGATTGCTGCATAGAGATCTATAGCCATTACTTCCAACAAAGAGCAGTGACCGAGCCAAAATATTTCACAAAAAACCTTTGAAGAAAGAAGCCCAAGAATGAAATGGTTCCATCTTGAACCCAGTACCTGCCTATTATCTTTAGTAATGTTGTGGTCCTGAATAGTACATCACACACAACTACATGACACAGTTTAAAGGAAAATATTAAATTTTTAATATATCGTATATGATGTATCATCATCACCCCTGGGATTGAACGTGTGCGTTGATGAACTGCAGTGATATGCTGCACAACCAGCAAAACCTGTTCCTTGTCCTCCCTGACCTTACACAGTGTCTGTGCGATAAGGCTCACTGGGGGAAATGCATACTTGCGTAGGCCCTGGGGCCAGCTGTGTGCCAGTGCATCCGTGCCGAGGGGGGCCTCGGTCAGGGAATAGTACAGCTGGCAGTGGGAGGATTTATTTACATTACTTGTTTATGAATGCAGCGGATGTCAACTGTGTGCATGAACATCTTATATTTTTACTGACCCCAAGACAAATCTAACCGAAAAAGTCAGATTTCATCAAGCAGTTTGTGAAGAATATATCTATGTTCACATTCATTTCAGGACAAAAGAAAAATTCCCAAGAAGGCACAAGGGGTGGCTAAGTAGGTTTAACCTTCTGATGCCCCTCAGGAACCTGATGATCAGGTTGTGCTTCCCCAGAGACCGGCTGTCCACTGCATCATGATGCGCTGCGATAAGGTAGAGGGTGACAGTCTATGCTCCAACTTTTCTTGCAGGAAAGAAAGCACGACTCTGATTGGGCAGCTTCGAGGGTCTTCTTGGCGAGAAAAACACCAGTTAGCGAACAGACTCCACTTTAAGGCATAAGCTCGCCTTGAAGGTTCCAAAGATATGGATGCGGGTGCAACAACCAGCAAAACCTGTTCCTTGTCCTCCCTGACCTTACACAGTGTCTGTGCGATAAGGCTCACTGGGGGAAATGCATACTTGCGTAGGCCCTGGGGCCAGCTGTGTGCCAGTGCATCCGTGCCGAGGGGGGCCTCGGTCAGGGAATAGTACAGCTGGCAGTGGGAGGACTTGTGGGGAGCAAACAGGTCTACCTGGGCTTCCCCAAATCGACTCTAGATCACCTAGACCACCTGGGGATGGAGTCGCCACTCTCTGGGGAAAGTGAGCTGTTGTGAGAGTGATTTGGCAGCACGATTGAGCTCCCCTGGAATGTGGACAGGGCGCAGTGACTTGAGCCGCATCTGACTCCAGAGGAGGAGTGACATGTGACATGCGACATGATTGTAGACCTCCCTGGCGGTCGACGTACAAACCGAGGCTGTCTGTCCATTGTATGTGGAGCCCCAGCCTGTCTTGGAGGCATGTGTCATGACAACAACATGCCGGGGCACTTGTTCTAAGGGCACCCCGGCCCGTAGAAAAGCAAGGTCTGATCAGGGGTTGGATGTGCGTTGGCACATCGGCGTGATGGTCACGCGATGTGTACCATGGTGCCATGCCCATCTTGGGACACGGTTGTGCAACCACTGGGGGAAATGCATACTTGCGTAGGCCCTGGGGCCAGCTGTGTGCCAGTGCATCCGTGCCGAGGGGGGCCTCGGTCAGGGAATAGTACAGCTGGCAGTGGGAGGACCTGTGGGGAGCAAACAGGTCTACCTGGGCTTCCCCAAATCGACTCTAGATCACCTAGACCACCTGGGGATGGAGTCGCCACTCTCTGGGGAAAGTGAGCTGTTGTGAGAGTGATTTGGCAGCACGATTGAGCTCCCCTGGAATGTGGACAGGGCGCAGTGACTTGAGCCGCATCTGACTCCAGAGGAGGAGTGACATGTGACATGCGACATGATTGTAGACCTCCCTGGCGGTCGACGTACAAACCGAGGCTGTCTGTCCATTGTATGTGGAGCCCCAGCCTGTCTTGGAGGCATGTGTCATGACAACAACATGCCAGGGCACTTGTTCTAAGGGCACCCCGGCCCGTAGAAAAGCAAGGTCTGATCAGGGGTTGGATGTGCGTTGGCACATCGGCGTGATGGTCACGCGATGTGTACCATGGTGCCATGCCCATCTTGGGACACGGTTGTGCAACCAGTGCTGAAATGGTCTCATATGGTGCAATCCGAACACCGTAACCATGGCTGCGGATGCCAAATGCCCCCATGAATCGCTGAAATTGTTTCAGTGGTACCGTCCTGCCCCTGAAGGAACTCAGGATCAGTTCAGCACTGATTGGGCACACTCATTGGTAAGATGCGCCGTCATGTTGACCGAGTCAAATTCCATACCAAGAAAAAAGACTCTCTGCACAGGGGAGAGCATGCTCTTTTCCGTTGAGGCTGAGGTGCCAGAGCACCAGGTCCCTGTGATCGCACAACTGTTCTTGTGATTGGGCCATGATGAGCCAGTCGTCAAGATAGTTGAGGATCCTGATGCCCATTTCCTGTAACCGGGCAAGGGCTCCCTCTGTGACTTTGGTAAAGACACGAGGGGACAGGGACAACCCGAATGGGAGGACCTTGTACTGATACACCCGACCCTCGAACGCAAAACGAAGAAATGTCTGTGTCGAGGAAGAATCGAGACATGAAATTATGAGTCCTTCAGGTCAACCGCTGCAAACCAGTCCTGGGGTTGGATGCATGCGCTTGAGGATGCGCTTCTGCGTCAATATCTTGAGTAGAAGCTTGTGAAGGGCCTGATTCAAGACTTGCAGATTCAATACTGGCCGAAGGCAACCGCTTTTCTTTGGCACAATGAAGTAAGG